GACACGACACGACACGATAATTAAACGGGTCGGGTTAGGGTCAAGCTCTTTCAACCTGTTTAATGTCTTGACACGACACGAACCCGACACGACATGCCACGTTTGTCAGGTCTACAAAATCCTCATTCCTTGCATCAAATCAAAATTATATTTATACGGGTAAATTGCAGATTTGATCCCTATGTTTTTTTATTTTATTTTTGGATTTAGTTTAAAAACCTTCAACTTACATCACAAATCCAAAACAATGTATGTTTTTATGGATTTAATCCGTATTAAACTTGATTTTTTTATATAAATTTGGTCTATACTAAACTTAAAATAAAATGACAATATGCTCCTTAGATAACTATGACACACATTGTAAAGATTAGCTATACTCTGAGCATTACATACACATTCAACAACCATGCATGAGGAATAAGGAACCACAAATAAATCTTTGTTATTCGAACTATGTTTTTAAATTCTCGAACCACACATGTCTCACTAGCCTTAGCCATGTTTCCGTTTACAATATTTACATAAGTTTGTTCTTGGTTTCCTTTATATTGGGATTGTATTAAGTTGATCTAGAATAGTCTTCTTCTTCACCTTTTCTCCATAGGTTTTTCTCATCTCGAACAAAAGCGAGTAGCAACTGCAAATAGGTGGTAGTTTCCTACCAAACTGAACACAATTTCAAAGCAAGGATCGGTGGATCATGTATATGCAAAAATCTTACAAATGTAGAATGTTTACCTATCTTAGAGAGCTTGACCCACATTCATCACATATTCTTCACGGATCCTTAGGTTGAATTGATCAATGGAAATTCTTCATTTACATTATTACCAAAAACGTTCAACATCATATTTATTACCAAAGGATTTTGATGTACATAGTCCACATTCGTTCGTAGTAGCCTCCTTGCCTCTAATCCCATTATGTTTAATATTGATGAATCTCAACTCCCATTGTTCTCCTGCGATTCCATCTTCTCACATACAATCACATTTAGGGTTCCACCCACCTGCAACAAAAAAAGACTCTTCGATCAATACGACACTAATAAAGAACATTGTTATCGTGTTCTCCAGGATCACTTTCACACCCAATAACACCTCACCGTGTTGAACAACCGAAAAATCAAGGTCAATAGAAAGTCGACGTTGAGAGTCGTCGACAACTAAGGTTATTGGTAAAGCAAAACATTTGTTAATGAGTTAACAAACGACATTTGCTAATTTAGATTGACAAATTATAAAACAGTTGCCTAGGTATTGTATGATCTTTCTCAATGTTCTCATATAAGAGAATTTATATTGTTGATTAGTTTAGTATTTTTAATGGGATGAAGATATTTCTTTGAATTTTATTCGCCAACAAGGCCCATGTAATCACTAGGACCAAGTAGGAGAGGAGAAATCTAATGCTTAGTACGATTGTGAATTGTGATTGTGTACAAAGTATCCTTGGTCTTCATACAAGTCTTTAATTTTAAACATATCACAGAGCTCAAGAAACTAAACAATATGCATGCTTAATTCATTATCCAATAACTAGTCAAACTGTGTGTTATTTGGAAATAGTTGAATAACATTCTTTTTAATTTTGGAATTGGGCACTACAATATCCGCCCTCAAAATACTGGATTGACTTCCATCTATGAAAGATCAAACGTAGTTTTCGATGCTATTTTAGTTTATTTTGATGGAACTCTTCTTCAATGATGTATTAATCGATTTCCTCAAACTTTCAGAAATTGAGGTATTGGTGGTGAATTGGGAGTAGTTAATATTGATGTACGCCTTGAGTAACAATAATGCTTGCAAATATCGGGAAGACTGCAAAAAAAATCACAAAGTAGAATATAAAAAGGAACCAAACAAGTGGGTGCAAGAAAGGTAAAATAATTTTGGGTTTATCAAGTATTTAAGATCACTGCCAATGTCATCATATTTAGGCGTTCTTTATATGCACAGAATCATTGTCACATATACTATAACTTTAGTTAAAATTATTTATCCTAAATAATCTTCCATAAAAAGTCACTTATAATGCTTATAATATCTAAATTGACTAGCCTGAATCTGCGGGTGTTACAGTGCTAACAAGTAGGTGGAGTTTACAACACAAACCCCACATAAATTTGTAATAAATGAGGAACAACATGGTGGAATGGAACAATATAGACGTGAGGAATCCTTTGAACAACCTAAGGAAGAAGTGTCTGGTGATGCTGATGTCATGAAAGATAACTTGAAGAAGCTTCTGAAGAATGAGTCTGTGATGAACGATTTAAGAGCTGAAAAGAAGATAGTAGAGATGGAGATTCAGAAGGATAGAAGAGCAGGATAATTATACATTTCTCACTATATTGTTAAAGTCTTGCGGTCTTTGGCGGTTTGAGGCAATCGGGGGAAAGCTCACTGGGAGTGGTTAAGTGGATCTTGCTACACTTAAAGGGAACATTTGATGTTTGTCTGGTGTATGGTGCTAATGCACAACATACAGAATTGGTTGGATCGATAGACTCATACCATGAATATGATCTAAATATAAGAAGATCATTGGCGGTTGGTCTTGTTCAGAGTCTTGTTTTGAAGGTGGAGAAACCTATCGTATTCTATGATAGGTTTTGCATTCAAAATTTTGGTACCAAGGAGAATACATAAGACATGTTGACAAGGTTTTTTTCTAGAGAGAAGTTCAAGCTTTGCTTGGACTTGGTTGGTGTTTACAGGAGTTAGATCCCTTCGGGGATGGATGGCAGGAAATGAAAGGAAGTTCTTGGTTTAAGGTGGAGTTCGAAGGATACTCAAGTCAAGGTAAAGATTGTTAAATGTGAATTGAGCATTTGGAACACTCTGTTGACACACTTGGATATGATGACACACTTGGATATGGTGGCACACTTAGATAGGATGACACTCCTGGATATGGTGACACACTTGGATATGATGAAACACTTGGATATGGTGGCACTATTGGATATGATGACACACTTGGATGTGATGACACACTTGGAGAAACACTTTGCATAGGAGGTGCCACCAAGTGACAATGTGCCACTTAATGGCACCTGATGTGCCGTTACGGCCCCTCAGATACGTTCTATGCATAGGAGGTGCCACCAAGTGTGAATGTGCTACTCAATGTCACACTTATCGTCATGATACCTCGATGATGTGCCATGCACTGGAGGTTCCACTAAGTGACAAGGTGTGCCATGCAATGTCACATGATGCGCCAGTGGTGCATTGTTGGTGCCAATGTAACGTCTCTTAAGGATGAAGGTTACAGAAGCGGTTGCATGACAGATTGTGATTGGTTGACATCTTTCATGGCCCTATGGGTTAATGAGCCAAACCCATTAGGGTTTAGGTATGATCTCTAGTCTATAAATAAGGATGTTTGCTAGTCATTTGAAAATTTTCTTTGTATCCTTAGTAAGTAGGTCAAATCTCTGTTGGTTGTACTTGTAATATCTGTTTGAGAACTCTGTTAATAAAAATACTCCCCTCCTGCCCGTGGACATATGTCACCTTGACCGAACCACATAGATACTGTGTCTTTATATGCTTTTTGGTTTCGTGTGTTATCCGCATTACTTTCGAACAAGGATCATCATATATTGACAAGTGACATTAGATTTGTTATGATTGTTAAAAAGTATCATTTGGTTTCCCTATGATTTAAATTTGAAGTCATAAACATATTGATTACACATAAAATATTCAATACGAGATACAATAACGAAATAAGAAAGGCAAAGCCTATCCCCGGTAGCGGTGACATAATTGATTAGCCAACCATGTTGTTGTTTACTACACTATTAATCATTGATTACATTGACGCTATTCCATAAGATAAACTCTGGAGTTGTTGATGGTATATCACTCAATCAACAAATTAGTGAAGAATAAGATATGTTCAATGAGATAGTTCTATCACATGAATCAAGGTTAACTAAGGAAAAAAATTATTATAACATGTTAGTATTTAGTTGTCACACCACAATTGATTTAAAAAATAATTCTTAGATTTTTTTATCGAACGAATGAGTGTAAATTATATATATATATATATATATATATATATATATATATATATATATATATATTAATTCCCGTGGGCATGAGAGAACATGAAAGTTTTAACTTTCTTACTTTGGCCACAAATTTTTATATTGTTTATACTTTTGCTTTAAAGTTATTAGTTTTTGACGGTTTTGCCACACTTTTGTAGCTTTTTCCAAAACTGCCCCTTTTGGTTTTTTCTTTTAGACTGCGGCCACAAATTTTCCAGCTCTTTTAACTTTGGTCACATTTCTTGCTGTTTTATCCATTTTGTCAATTCAAAACTCAATTAACGTCAAAACTCTATTCATCTCATGCGGAACATGAGCTTCTCCTAGTTTGCATAATTTCTAGTATCTATGAAAAATCTATTTAACCGAAAAGTACAATTAATTCAAGCTAGTTTCAAAAAAATGGACCACAACACAAACATACACCTTAGTTATGGTGCTTTTGCCTTTTGGTCCAAAACTCCCGTTTCTTGACTATACTTTGTCCGTACATGACCATAATCATCTATCGACACATACCACCTTTATCAACGATGTTTTTGTTGTTTTGATCTTTAAAGTGTGATTTTTTATATATATTTTTTCTTTCTTTTTAGTCTTTGGTTTGTATGTTTGATATTTGTTTTGTATTTTTGTATTTATGCTTTCGACTTTATGATTCTATTTTGATGTTGATTTGTTTGATATTTTTATCATTACTGTGTTTCTTTTTAATGTCGATATTTTGTTTTCAAGTTTCAATCTAGTCTTTGTCATGATCATTGTAACATGGTTTGCTTTTGTTCATTTGAATGGGTTTTTGTTTTCATTCTTTGATTTTGATTTTTTAATATGTAATATAATCAAATATATAAATTTAAAATATATAATACAACTTTAGATAATGGTTATTTATAAAAGAATGTAATTATTTTTATCGGGATGTCCCCGACAGGACAAAGTATGTAAATTTGAAACCCTTAAAAATATACCAAAAATCTTTTATCTTCTTCTTGTGAGAACATAAAAAAAGAAATAGAGACGGTTGACAGAATCAACGATCGAAATCTGACGACACCAGTGTGACTTGTGAGCGACATCGGACGACGGAGATGGTAAACGCTGTTCCTGGCGCACCGGCGGTGAACATCATTACGCCGCCCTATGATGAAGAAATTGGATTATATTTGCGAACCATGAAAATGTGTTTCAATTCCGATCTTAATTATAATCACTGCTCTTTCAGGTTAGGCATTTCATTTTTAGTGTGTATTCTACTTTCTATTTCAAACCATATCCGAAATCGGAGTCGTAATTTTGATTTTCAAGAATAAGTCTCCAATGTTTGTCGTGTTATGCTTCCACTAGCTCTAAGAACTTGTACGGTATAACCTACTGTTCGGTGAGGACGAATTTGACTAGCATTTGAAGTCTGTCTAAGAGATAGAGTATTCTGCTCTTCCAAAAAGGACAAGTATATAGTCTCGAAAGGGCCCTCCATTTTGAGAGGCAACAAAATCGACCAATCGAATGAAATTGCAAGAAAACGATAAAAACAAAATCGTTAAAAGAACTGACCAAAATTGCAAGAAAACAACAAAAACACAATCCTTTAAGAATTACATATATAATAGTATTCTGTGATACGAACACAAGACCAAACGCTATTACAAGGCAAATTTGTGAGTTCTGTTAGCAGTAAAGACAAAATAAAGAATCAGAACACTCATCTAGGTAAAAAAATAACGTAGAGCAGGAGGCAACATTGTAACAAAGCACAACTTTTTTGTCCAAATTACATATGTTAAATAATGTCCAAGGCCGCTTAATTTAATTGTTTTGAATCTCTGTTCAGATTCTTGCCACCCTTTAACTACATTAAGACGGCCTGCAGTATGCAAGAAGCTTGTTATATATACATGTCGAAATGTATGGAGCACAAAGCATTTATAGTTCTGAGTTTTATCTCTGTAAATGGAGAATGGTGGCATAAAGGAGTGTTATCCAGGTTTTGGTGAGGAAGATGAAGATGATTATGACGCTATTGTTGTGGGGTCTGGATATGGAGGCTCTGTTGCTGCTTATAGGATGTCCATGGCGGGAATAAAGGTTTGTTTGCTTGAAAAAGGTCGGAAATGGGAAGCTCAAGATTTTCCTACAGATAGTTTGAGATTGTTATCTTCTGTTAGATTTGAAAACAAAAGCTTGAAGTTTGGCTTAGGCCCAAAAGATGCATTGCTTCAGGTCTCTATTTCTCTCCATGTGTGATTATTCAATCCATTGGTCCAATTTTTTATCTGATTACTAAAAAATACATTTTTTCCATGGTTTCAGATACATACAGAACATGATTCTTTAGCAGCAACTGTTTGTGGACTTGGTGGTGGTTCACTAGTGAATGCTGGTGTAATGCTGCCAACACCTGTTCGAGCAAAAAGAAACCCAAAATGGCCAAAAGAATGGGAGTCCAATTGGAAGTCATGTGAAGCCTCTGCTTCTTCCATGCTTAATATACAAAACGTTCCTGTGAAATTTCCTAATGCTAAAACAATGGAGAAATTAATGGTTGATGACGAGTTCAAAGAAACTACCTCTTTAAAGCTGAGTATAAACTTTGATGTAGAAGAACAGGGAACTCATCTTAAAACAGCTAAAGAAACAGAGAGCTGCATAGCTTGTGGAAACTGTCTTTCTGGTTGTCCTTACAATGCAAAAAATTCCACTGACAAGAATTATTTGTTCTCAGCTGTTGAGGTATGTAATAAGTTATACTTTTGTATTATGATTATTATCAGTGTATCAGGCTTAAAGTTTTCTTTTGATGCAGGCAGGATGTAGTATAAAAACAGATTGTGAAGTTAAGTATGTGGTGAAAAACCCTAATGACACAAATACACATAAGAAACGAGCATGTAGGTGGCTTGTATATCTTAATGAGACTGATTATCTACAATCTGATTTTGTTATTCTATCAGGTATACGAAACTGGTATTAGAATATTAGATTGAGGTATATTTTCATGCATCTTATCATGATACTCTGAAATGTTTTCTTATTGGTGTTTTACTATTTGTTAGCTGGAGTGTTTGGGACCACTGATTTGCTATTCCGTTCACAAACTAGAGGATTAGAGCTCTCAAGCAGGCTGGGCGAAGGGTTCAGCTGTAATGGCAACAATGTTGCTTATCTTGCTGGATGCACAACACCACTAGGTGCTTATGGATTACACAAAGAGCAATTCTCCAAAATACCCTTTCAAGAACGCCCTGGGCCCGCCATTTCTAAATCATACACTTCTTCTTTGGGGTTCACAATTCAGGTTTTTCTCATTCTTCTTTGGTTTTCTTGAAACATAAAAGTTTTTCATAATGACAATTACTCATGTTTTGGATCAGAGTGCAGTGTTGCCAACAGCTTATCCATACTTGATATTTAAAGGGGTTTCAACGTATGGTTGGCCAACTGGGTTCTGGTTTCTACATGGAGTTATAGACAAACTGAAGCATTCTTTTGGTATAAAGAGCACTCAAGCAATGGCTTTAAATGTAATGGGGTATGATGAGAGTGATGGAAAAATCACATTTGATAAAATCAGTGATAAAATAAACTTCTCCCCACCAATTGATCCCTTGCTTCCACGAAAAATCATTTCCTTCCAAAAACTAACAAAAAAACTAAGAGGGATACTCTTCATGTCTAGATACAGAAGCACCTCAGTTCATCTTCTAGGTGGATGCAATGCTTCTTCAGATCATTTTAATGGAGTTTGTAACTCAAATGGTCAGGTTTTCGATTCCCAGTCACCTTCCTCTGTCCACTCGGGTCTTTATGTTTGTGATGCCTCTTTAATCCCTTGCTCTATAGGGGTAAATCCGTCTCTTACTATTGCCACTGCCTCTGAGCATGTTAGCAGACACCTCATCCAAGATATTATTAATACTTATGTGGGAAAAGATTCCATTGATGAAAGAGATGATAAAAGCTGTGGATCAATACGTTCTTGGAAGGTAGAGGAGAAATCAAGATGTGATGTTCGGTTTACAGAAGTTATGAAAGGACATATTAATGGAATGCCTTGTGTTGCTTATCTTAAACTGAAAATGAATGCGAAAACAAGAAAAGGAAATCTGGTTTTTGGAAAATCTCATCCACTTATGAGAGGAATAGTAGGTGGATATCTCAATTTCAATTCTATAGAGAAGGATAGATTATATGTAATCGATGGAGAAGTGGATTTATGTGAAGTTGAGATAAGAACTCCTTACACACAGTTCATGCATTATCGCCTCCTTCTTGCAGCTTCTTCTGGTTCAAGGTTCAATCTTTATTCATGTTTTCAGTTGACATCTTTATGAAATTAAAGAGTTAAAGATTACTACATTTTGATGCAGATATGTTCTTGAAGGAAAAAAGGTAATGAACCCTTTTCTCCTAGGACTTTACGGATGGAAAGAGTCAACAACACTGGAAGTGACATTCAAGAAAGTCAAGAACAATAATCCAAGTGAAGAAATGGTAGATTTAAAAGGAGTGCTTCATGTATCCATGATTGCACTTGTGAGGAGCCTGATTAGTATGGAAGGAAACAACAAAATGAAGTTTGTGTTGCTTTTATTACAATCTATCTTTAGAACATATGTCATGCAAAAACCTAGAGGGAGTTTCATGGGTTTCCCTCATGTAGAACTCATGGATAGGCCTTATCCTAGCAGTACCCTTCATGAGATAAGAACAGGTATACATACATTTCCCATAAAGATTAATCTCTCAAAAACTTAAAAGATGAAAAAAATCATTAATGGGGTTTTCTTGATTTATGTAGAGGATGGATTTGTAATTGGTTGCAGACAATGGAAGATCAAAATGGATGATTCTTGGAGGTTTGAAAGAGAGAAAAATCCATATCCAGTGCTACTTCTTAATGGGCATTCCACTGAGAGTTTTTGCCTTCCTACCGAGTCAAATGATTTGGTAAGAACACTTCTTGACAAAGGGCATGAAACATGGCTTCTTCAAACAAGGCTACACCCTCTTCATTCTTCAAATTCCTTCACTTTTGAAGATATTAGCAGATTCGATATTCCAGCAGCCATTGATAAAATCTTGAAATTGAATGACAAGTCAACAAAGATTCATGTGGTAGCACATTGTGTTGGAGGCTTAGCCATTCACATGGCTATAATGGGAGGCCATGTTTCTGCAACAAGAATCGCTTCACTCTCTTGCACTAATTCATCCATGTTCTTCAAGCTCACACCTTTTTCAACTTTCAAGATGTGGCTTCCTCTAATCCCGGTAAATATACAAAACAATCATCGTCTTTTGTCACCTTTTTAATAAGTTTTTTAAATATAGTAAGTAATAATACACCTATACACTTTCAGATAACAATGATGATATTAGGAAAAAACACCATCCTTCCTATACTCAAAAGAACAAAAGAAAGTATGAATCACAAACTGTTAAAATCCATAGCTCGTGTCATCCCACGTTATGAGAGATGCAATTGTGAGGAATGTGAAGTATTTTCTGGCATATTTGGGAATACATTTTGGCATGAAAACATAACACAAACTCTTCACAGTTGGATGAATGAGAAAAGTAATTCGAGTCTTCCCATGTCTGCTTTTCCACACCTTAGAAAGATATGTAACACAGGGTTCATAGTTGATAGTAAAGGAAACAACTCATATTTAATTCATGCTGAGAGAATGAGTCTTCCAACACTTTACATATCGGGTGGAAGGACTCTTCTTGTGACACGTGAGACTTCTTGGCTTGGAAACAAGTATATGAAGTTGCATCATCCTAATCTTAGACATGAGAGGGTGGTTGTTGATGGATTTGGGCATTCTGATCTGTTAATTGGAGAAGAATCTTGTAAGGAAGTTTTTCCTCATATACTCTCTCATATTGGGTTGGCTGAAAAGGAGGAAAATCTTGATGATAATGGAAACGATTACAAGTGTTTTAGTGGAGATGATCGGTTTGAGGATGGAGAATTGGTGTTTGAGGGTTGGGTCTCTTCTTCTATCACTATTTGGTTCCTCTTGTTTTTTGTTGCTTTATGTTCGGTAACTTTGTATTGTTTACCTCTAAAATTCTTATTTTAGTGTTTGAACTTTGAACCATAAATTTTGAATTAAAGCGAACGTTTATGAAAAAGTTGCTGGTTTTTGGCGGAAATTTTTAGTAAAGCCAACGTTTTTGAGAAAATACTTTGTTTTTTTTTATTAAAATCTAACAAAAAGTTAAAGAAACACAAGAAATAGGAAGTATATATGATATAAAGGGTTAAAATTAGACAAATGATTGAAAAACTGTTATATCAAACACTTTGGAATGTATATTTCGGATATAAATAGAGTTTTTTTTTGGAAAAAATCGTACAAATAAGCAAAAAAAAACTCCAAAATTTCAAGAATAAATCCAAAATGAAACATTTTCAGAAAAAATGATAATTTTATTAAAAAATGAAAAATATATACTCCCTCCGTCCCAATATTATTGTCTACAGACAAAAAACACACATATTAAAAAAAGCATTAATTACCACTAACTTTATTTAATAAAATCACAGTTTTGTCCTTACTTTGCATTTAATGTTCCATTAAATGCTTAGTTTGTTAAGTAATAATGAGGGAATATTTTGGTAAAAATGTTATTTATTTTTAGAAGTGGACTATTATTTTGGGACAAACCAAAAAGGAAAGATGAACTATAATTTTGGGACGGAGGAAGTATTATTTTTACAAATAAACTTGTTTATAAAAAGTTAGTTTAATTAATGAATATCCCTTAAAAAAATTATTCAACCCCATTGAATTAGCCTATGGCCCATTAGGCCATCATCAATTCTGACTTCAAAGCTGATGTATAAACGCAACGCACAAGGGCAATGAAGTCGCTTTGATTCTGTAATTAATTAGTGAGTCGACGAAACCAAACAGCATGGTACAAGTTCTTATGCTAAGATAGTTACATCTGTTTACTTATTTAAATTTAATATATTAACATTTATTTTGGGGATGCAGCTATGCCCAACATGCTCAGCCCCACGTATTTGGACTTTGGAATCTCTGTCAAAAACATAAACCATATGGATGCAAGCAATTAAATTAAATAAATTAATCTAAAGAAACAAAGATTTCTTGTGGTTCAAGATCCTAATTAATACTGGAATATATAAAATCACAAAATTAACAATCGACTATCAAAAAAAAAAAAAAAAAAACAGTGAAAATAGGATAAAAAAACACGAACATATTTAGTGTAACCTTGAATAATTGACGCAGATACTTGTTTGTAGTAAAGAGAAATTAAAAATTTCAGAAGAGCTGCTGCTTGTCAAGAAGAAAAAGTCATCGTAAAATTAAGCCGCCAGTTGCATTAAATTTGGATACAATAGTTTAAACATTTGAATGAATCGTAGCTAGATCCAATAAAGTCAACAAGTTGAAGTCTAAATGCTCCAGCACCACTTAAGCTTATTATATATGTTGCACAACAAATATCGTGCTACATTTTATCTCGATAAATGGAGAATAATAATGGCGTAAAGGAATCTTATCTTGGTTGTGATGAGGAAGATGATGATAGTTATGATGGTATTGTGGTGGGGTCAGGATATGGCGGCTCTGTTGCTGCTTGTAGGATGTCCATGGCGGGAATAAAGGTCTGTTTGCTTGAAAAAGGTCGAAAATGGGAAGCTCAAGATTTTCCCACAGATAGTTTGAGATTGTTATCATCTGTTAGATTTGAAGATGAAAGCTTGGGGTTCGGTTTAGGCTCAAAAGATGCATTGTTCCAGGTCTTTATTTCTCTCCATGTGTTCAACTCAATTATGATCCAATTCTTTATCTGGTTTAATATATAAAAATACATTTTTCTTTGGTTTCAGATACATAAAGAACATGATTCTGTAGCAGTAACAGTTTGTGGGCTTGGTGGTGGTTCGCTAGTGAATGCTGGTGTGATGCTGCCAACACCTGTTCGAGCAAGAAGGAACCCAAAATGGCCAAAAGAATGGGAGTCGAATTGGAAGTCATGTGAAGCCTCTGCTTCCTCCATGCTTAATATACAAAGCGTTCCTGTGAAATTTCCTAATGCTAAAACTATGGATAAATTAATGGTTGGTGATGAGTTCAAAGAAACTAGTAGTTCTTTAAAGGTGAGTATAAATTTTGATGTAGAAGGACAGGGAGACCATTTCAAAAGACCTAAAGAAACAGGGAGCTGCATAGCTTGTGGAAACTGTGTTGCTGGTTGTCCTTATAATGCAAAAAACTCTACTGACAAGAATTATTTGTTCTCCGCGGTTGAGGTATGTTTGACTTTTTATACTATTAAATAATTATAACCAAATAAATTATTCGTCTACTTTGAATCAGTTTTTATATGATGTCGTGCTTTTAATTATAATCATTAAGAAGTATACAAAACTTTAAATAAATAGATTAAAAAAACTATATATGAGTAATTAATTATATAACAAAAAATAATGATTATAAGTAATAATTGTTACATTTTAAATATAGCTATCTATAGGACTAAATAAAACAGAAATAGAAACCTAAAACATGAAAGTTTGACACTGTTTTTTGTGTAAGGAAATAGTATGACACAAAATTTGATGCTATATACTTTGGTATTGTTATATTCATTTATGCAAAAATCATGCAAATAATGGTGTTGGGTTAGAACAAAATGGCGTAATTAAGAAATAATGTCAAAAATGGGAATTAATTTGGTGTTGGGTTGCAGGCAGGATGTATTATCAAAACAGATTGTGAAGTTAGATATGTGGTGAAAAACCCAAAGGACACAAATATACTTGGGAAACGAGCTCGTAGGTGGCTTGTATATCTTAACGAGACTGACTATCTACAATCTGATTTTGTTATTCTATCAGGTAACACAGGAAACTACGAACAAATGAAATGTTTTTATGCATATTATATATCATGATGCTGAAATGTTTTCTTTTTGGGTATTTTTAGCGGGAGTGTTTGGTACTGCTGATTTGCTATTCCGTTCACAACTTAGAGGACTAGAGCTCTCAAGCAGACTTGGTGAAGGGTTCAGTTGTAATGGCAACAATTCTGCTTATCTTGCTGGATGCACAACACCTCTAGGTGCATATGGCTTACACAAAGAGCAATTCTCCAAAATATCCTTTCAAGAAAGGCCTGGGCCTGCCATTTCCTCATCATACACTTCTTCTTTGGGGTTTACAATTCAGGTTTTTGTCACTTTTCTTGTATATATGTATTTCAAAGCATGCAACCAAGTTTTCACATTAACAATTACTATATACGGTTTTGGATCAGAGTGGGGTGTTACCAACAGCTTATCCATACTTGATATTTAAAGGGATTTTAACGTATGGATGGCCAACCGGCTTCTGGTTTCTACATGGACTTATAGACAAACTGAAGCATTCTTTCGGTCTAAAGAGCACTCAAGCAATGACTTTGAATGTAATAGGGCATGATGAGAGTGATGGAAAAATCACATTCAATAAAAGCAGAGATAAAATAAACTTCACCCCACCAAACGATCCCTTGCTTCCACGCAAAATCATGTCCTTACAAAAACTAACCAAGAAACTAGGAGGAATATTGTTCATGTCTAGGTATAGAAGTACCTCGGTTCATCTTCTAGGTGGTTGTAATGCTTCTTCCGATCATTTCAGTGGAGTTTGTAACTCAAATGGTCAGGTTTTTGACACCAAGTCTCCTTCCTCAGTTCACTCGGGTCTTTATGTTTGTGATGCGTCTTTAATCCCTTGCTCTATCGGGATAAATCCTTGTCTTACTATTGCTACTGCCTCTGAGCATGTAAGCAGACACCTTATCCAAGATATTATCAAAACTCACGTGGGTGATGACGGAAAAGATTCCTTGGATGAAAGTGATGATAAAAAACGTGGTTCAATATGTTCTTGGAAGCTAGAGGGGAAATCAAGAAGTGATGTTCGGTTTACAGAAGTTATGAGAGGGCATATTGACGGTATGCCTTGTGTTGCTCATCTAGAATTGAAAATGAATGCACAATCAATAAAAGATTTTGATCAAGGAAGTATGGATTTTGGAAAATCTCATCCTCTTCTAAGAGGAATAGTCAGTGGATATCTTGACTTCAATGCTTTAGAGAGGGACAGATTATATGTAATCGATGGAGAAGTGGATTTATGTGAAGTAGACATTAGAACTCCTTACACACAGTTCATGCATTATCGCCTCCTTCTTGTAGCTTCTTCTGGTTCAAGGTACAATCTTTATTCATTTTTTCCATTAAATATATATCTTTCTTAAAGCTAAACAAAACTACATTTTGATACAGATACATTCTTGAAGGGAAGAAGGTAATGAAACCTTTTCTCCTAGGACTATATGGATGGAAAGAGTCAACAACATTGCAAGTGACCTTCAAGAAAGTCAAGAAGAATGATCCGAGTGAAGAAATGGTAGACTTAAAAGGAGTGCTTCATATATCCACGTTTGCACTCATGAGGAGTTTGATTAGTATGCAAGGAAACAACAAAATGAAGTTTGTGTTGCTTTTATTACAATCTATCTTTAGAACATATGTCATACAGAAACCTCGAGGAAATTTCATTGGTTCCCCCCATGTAGAACCCATAGATGGGCCATATCCTAGCAGTACCCTCCATGAGATAAGAACAGGTACGTGTTCCTTTTGCAAAAGGATTAAACTCTCAAAACCTTGAAAATCTTAGAAATATGAATAGGTTTTTATTGATTTATGCAGAGGATGGTTTTGTAATTAGTTGTAGACAATGGAAGATCAAAACAGATGATTCTTTGAGATTTGGAAGATTGAAAAATCGGTATCCAGTACTACTTATTAATGGGTATTCCACTGACAGTTTTTGGCTTCCAACCGAGGAAAATGATTTGGTTAGAACTTTACTAGACAAAGGACATGAAACATGGCTTCTTCAACCAAGGTTACACCCTCTTAATTCTTCAAATTCTTTCACTATTGAAGATATTGGCAGATTCGATATTCCAGCAGGTAGAGAAACACAGAATAGCTCATTTCATTCCAATATAAAAAAGTATAATATTTTTATTATTATTAGTATTAATATTTTGTTATTCTTGTCAGCGATTGATAAAATCTTGAAATTGAATGAGAAGTCAACTAAGATTCATGTGGTAGCACACTGTGTGGGAGGCCTAGCCATTCACATAGCTATAATGGGAGGCCATGTTTCTGCAGCAAGAATCGCTTCACTCTCTTGCACTAACTCATCCATGTTCTTCAAGCTCACAACTTTTTCAAGGTTCAAGATGTGGCTTCCTCTACTCCCGGTAAATATACAAAACAATTATCATCTTCTGTCACATGTTTAATTAACTTTGTAAATGTAGTAAGTAATACAAGAAAACTTTTGACCCATAAACATGCAGATAACAATGATGATATTAGGAAGAAACACCATCCTCCCTATACTCAAAACAACAAAAACAAATTTAAATCAGAAACTGGTAAAGTTTGTAGCTCGTTTCATCCCACGTTATGAAAGATGCAATTGTGACGAATGTGAAGTATTTTCTGGCATATTTGGGAATGCTTTTTGGCACAACAATGTAACATCAAGTCTTCACAGTTGGATAAATAAGAAAAATCTTCCAAGTCTCCCTATGGCTGGTTTTCCACACCTCAGAAAGATATGTAACGCAGGGTTTATAGTTGATAGCAAAGGAAACAACTCATATCTGATTCACGCTGAGAGAATAAGTCTTCCAACACTTTACATATCGGGTGGAAGAACACTTCTTTCTACTCCTCAGACTTCTTTGCTTGGTAACAAGTATATGAAGTTGCACCAACCTAATTTTCGACATGAGAGGGTGGTTGTGGAGGGATTTGGGCATTCTGATCTGTTGATTGGAGAAGAATCTTGTAAGAAAGTTTTTCCTCATATACTCTCTCATATGGGGTTAGCTGAAAAGGAGGAAAATCTTGAATATGATGGCAATGAAAAAGAGTATTTTAGTGGATATGGTCAATTTGAGGATGGTGAATTGGTGTTTAAGAGTTGGGTCTCTTCTTCCATAATTATTTGGTTCCTCTTGTTTTTGGTTTTGTGTTTGGTAATTTTCCATTGAACACAAGTGATTATGGTAAAAATAAATGACCTATGTTTAGATGTATTTTCGTCTTTCTAGGCCATATGCGTGTAAATGCAACAAAACTATATATTTACTTCACGCCATTTTTTTAATACTTGTACACGATACACTGTAAGAATTAAAATGAAGAAATAGATGAAACAAAGTAAATGATGAACCAAATCTTTCAATCTTTCATTGATTCAATTGTGTAAAGAAAATTACATTACAAAGAAAGCAAACTATCTAATATATATAAAAAAAATCTCCACTTCTAACTCTATCTAACCGTTCTAACTAATAGTAACAAACTTCTTCTACTAAATGACTAAAATGCCCCTGAATCAAGATTGATGTGATTTGTGCACTTGTGATCCATGCAAAGGTTTAGTTAAAGCATCTGCAAGATGATTGGTTGTAGGAACATGAGAAACTAATATTAAACCAACTTGAAGTTTTTCGAGCAGAAAGTGACAATCAAGATTGATGTGATTTGTGCGCTTGTGAAATACTAGATTACGAGCAATATGGATAGCAGCCTGGTTATCACATTTGAGAGGAATCAGAGTGACATCATCAATACCAAAATCGTGTAACAGACGACTCAGCCATGCCAACTCAGCACACACCCTACGCATAGAGCGATATTAAGCTTCTGTTGAAGAAAGGGAGACGAGTAACCCGCTTTTTTGATTTCCAAGAGATTAGGGCTCCTCCAAAGAGTATAAAATAATCACTTACAGATCGTCTGGTTAAGGGACAAGTACCCTAGTCACTGTCACAAAGCGCCTCAACTAAAATTATTAATTAACCCACGATTCATAGTTCCTTTAAGGTAACAAAACACATGCATAGCAGCATCAAGATGCTCTTGACAAGGTTGTTGATTAAATTGGCTTAGGAATTGCACCGTATAAGCCAAATCAGGTCTAGTGTGAAGAAGGTAATTTAATTTTCCTATTAATTGTCTATATAAAGTGGCATCTGGTAGTAAATTTTGATACTTGAACAATGCTTTAAGATCATAAGGAAGTGGAGAAGAAACAGTCGCACAATCATCAACAGGATAAAGAGACAAAAGATCCTTGATAAATTTCTGTTGTAGAACCACTATGCCCTTTGAGGTAGAATTGAACTCTAACCCCAAAAAGAAATGAATTTGTCCTAAATCTTTAATTTGAAAACGATTATCCAAATAGCTTTTAAGATCTGTAATGGCTTGAGTGTCATTTCCAGTAACCAAAATGTCGTCAACATATACAACAACGATGAAAATAGTGGTTGAAGTGCGTTTAAGAAATAATGATGAATCATTAGGAGACAAAACATAACCTTGATCATGTAAAGCCTGTGAAAGTTTAGAATACCACTTTTGAGATACTTGTTTTAAACCGTATAACGATTTCTTCAACTTACAAACAATAGAAGGTGAAGGAACTGAAAAACCAGGTGGAGGTTTCATGTAAACTTCTTCGTACAAATCACCGTGAAGAAAGGCATTATCAACGTCCATTTTTTTGAATTTCCCATCCCTTTTTAACAACTAGAGATACTAAACAATGAACAATAATGAATTTCACAACCGGTGAAATAGTTCGGTGAAAGTCAATCCCTTGATTTTGGGTAAAACCTTTCGCGACCAATCTTGCCTTATAACGTTCAACTGAGCCATCAGACCTATGTTTAATTTTGTCAACCCATCGGCAAGAAATGGGTTTCTTCGCTTTTAGTAATTTAACTACTTCCCATGTTTGATTCATCTGCAAAGCTTCTAGTTCTTTAGCCATGGCTGTTTCCTAAGCAGGATCACCCTTGGCCTGATGGTAAAAAGCCGGTTCAATGGGAACATTTTGAGTATGAAAAACATAAGAAAAAGTACTTTCATCAGTGGAAAGTTCCAAAGGAGGTGAAAAACCAACACACAAATTGGTCAAAGTATGAGTACAACCACTAGAATCATCAATTGTGTGAACATGATTACAAACATAATCTGTTAATCGTGTTGAAGGAATTAGGATTCTGAGTGAACGTCTTAAATCCTATTGTTGTACTGGAGGATTTTGATCAGAATTTGATGAAGAAGATGGACTATTGTGTGGAGAAATATTATGAAATAGGGTATTTAGGTCTGATAGCTTATTTTATTTCCTTATTTTTATTAGTTTATTTTTAGATTTTTAGCTCTTTTTATTAATATTGCATTGTATATTCTTTATTTTCTTTATCATGGATCATATCGGGGACTTTTTATTTTGCATGAGGAATTTTGCAGGGTTTTGGAGCTCATTGCGGTTGTGGTTTGACTAGAGTTGGGCTTAGTGGGCTTTTCGATGCATTATTGGGCTTTGCGGATCCACCAAGGGAGATTTGGGCTTAAAAAGATAAAGGCTTGGATGAAGTGGGCTTGTGAAGATGGATCATGGATAGTTAATTTGGGCTTGGAGCATCCATTTTTGAAGCTAAAAGATGATTGGCTAGTTTGAATCATGTGGGATATGGAGGGGATTAAGAGAATCTTTGGTAATGGGATGGTTAGTGGAGGAAAAATGAGCCAATAGCATTCCAGCAGCACTTGCGCGGGTACCCGCACAACTGTCCAGTTTTGGGTATTTTGGTCATTTGGCACACCATAACCTTGGGGGATCAGATCTATCACCCATCACTTCGATTTTACACCATTAGAGACCAGACGAAGGCGATTTTGAAGCTCAAGACTCATTTCTTTTCATCTTTCCAAGTTATTGGTAGTTTCTTTGTGCAATTAGACTTTTGTGATTGTTGTTCTATTGCCATGAGTGACTAAACTCTCTATTTTGGTAGACCTTGGCTAAAACCTCTGAATGTTTGTGGGTTTTTGAAGGATTTATGCTTATTTATCATTTATCTTATGTCTATGATTCTAGTTCATATTTCCTATGCTTGTTTAGTGCTTTGATCATGAGCTTGGTACTTTAATAAGCAATTGTTGGTTTATTTCTTTGGTTTAGCATTGAATCATTGAATTTACTTAGAACAAGGGCTTTATGATGGTAGAAATCATCTCTAGCTTATGAATCATAACTCCTTTATGGATGTGTAAGCATTGACATCCTCTAGGAATTGGGGATTTCTTCATTCTTAAGGCTAATCAACTTCTTGGGTTCAATTGCTTCAATTGGATCTTTGATTTTGATTAAGAAGGTGTGTTGTGGGCTTCCTCAACCTCCATACTACCTATGAGAAATCTTGGCATATCATGCTTCATGATTGTTATAACCAATTTGGGGTGAATGATAATCTTCATGTTAAATCCTAATGATAAACATACAAATGTTCATTGTGTTGAATTGCCTTGGTTTACCAATTCTCTCTAATATTTGAGCATCTCATTTTCTTGCTTAATTGCAAGTTTTTAGTTATTCAAGTCTTTTAGTTTTCAAGCAATCATAACACCCCCCCTTTTAGTTTAATTGTAGTTAGTTAGTTTATTTACAATAGTTCTTTTAGATTGCATTAGTGATTGAATACAACCATTTCCCCGATGATCGATACCCCTTTTTACCATTATATTACGTTTTATTTGAAAACAAAGGGTGTAATTTGCTTGGTGGACTTGACATCCCACCAAGGTCATTATTTGAATTATCAGTAGAAAAAGAGAATTGAGTATCACAAACAGAAGATGGGATATAAGAACATGGATTGGGAAGTAATGGTTTGATAGTAATAGCATGAAGTGGGTAAATATCTTCAAAAATACGAATATCCCTTGAAACATAAATTTTCTTAGTGACCATGTTGTAAACTTTATAAGCCTTTTGACCAAACTGATAACCAATGAAAACACATAGATGTGCTTTAGGCATAAACTTATCCCTCCCTACTTTGGTTGTATTAACAAAACAAAGACATCCAAAACTTCTCAAATAAGTCAAATAATGTTTGATTTGAAATAGAACTTCACAAGGAGTCTTATTTTGTAAAAGCTCTTAAGTCATTCTATTAATAAGGTGCACTACTATTTTAGTGCATTCACCCCAAAATTGAACACCAATACTGGATTGAAAATACAAACATCGAGTAGTGTCAAGTATATGTTTGTGTTTACGTTCGACAAGCCCATTCTGTTGAGGTGTATCAGGTGTAGATTTTTGATGAATAATCCCTTGAGATTGAAAGAATTCTATGCCTTCATTGCTGGAACCTAAATCATAAGCATCAGCAGTCCTTATCTTCTGAATAGTTCTGTTAAACTGTGTTTGAAAAAACTTTACAAAAGCCTTCATGAGACTGAATGCATATCCTTTATTTTTCAATAAGTGAATCCATGTATGACGACTAAAGTCATCAACAATGGTTAAGAAAAACTTATAACCATCATGAGTAGGATGTTTGTAGGGACCCCACACATCAATATGAACTAGTTGAAAAACAACATCCGTGACAGAATTACTTATAGGAAATGAACATCTAGGCTGTTTAGCTTGGGCACAAACAACACAAGGATTAATTGCAGTACTATTACAATTAGGAATCAAAGAAAGAACATGAAGTTTATTCAAAGGCAAGTGCCCAAAACGGCGATGCCATAACAAGGCTTTTGAATCCAAACTAGAAACAACAGATTGAACTTGAGTTGGAATATTAAAAACAGGAAACTAAAGGACGCATTTGACTTTATGAATCAATGATAAAAAAACATATAAGTCATTGATTTTTGTCCCAAGAATGCCAAATGCAAGCTTATGCTTCGAAGAAGGGTCCTGTATCATATAAGTATGATCAGTAAAAATAAGAAAGGTTTGAAGTTGTTTGGTAAGCTTAGCAACAGATAAGAGGTTATATTTGAAAGAAGGAACATATTGATGGGTTTTATGCAAAACAAACAAACTTAAACTCTTAAGTGTGCATGCAACCCTAATAAAGATCTATGTTTTCACTATTGAATCTATAACTATGAACATCAAAAGGACACCCTAAGAACACCAGCCTATTTTCGAAAATACCAAAGTAGGGTT